GATTGGACGACTAGAACCACACGGATAATATATATACAAAAATCGCCGATCTCTCCTAAAATCACTAATTGTCTGATAACTAATTTTTGGAGGATAAAAAACATCACCACAATATCTAAAGGATTTTTCTTGCAAGTTTTTTTGGTGATGCAACTTCAATTTTAAACTTGTTAAAAAATAGTTTACACATCATTGCATAATTCGGAAGATATTTGCAATGAAATAAAGAAAATTTATAATTAGATACTGGTTCTGTATGTGATATGAATTTCATAAATTTAGGGTTAGGTTCTAAGGTATGACAGGAATGCTTGTGATATGAATTCGGTTGTCCATAAATATTACGAAATTCATACACTTATATTGATTTATTAATTTACCACATATTAATTTTATCCAAAGTGAGATGGTATCGAGGTCTTTATTAGCTTCCATACAGTTTTTAAATTCTCCTTTATAATATTAATTACTGCATAAATTTGTGATTAGTTAAGTAAAGGTCACAAGAGGAATTCACTGGAGAAGTGACCATATATAAAATTCCTTTTGATATGATCGCCAGGTTATTATTAGAAGAGAATCTAATTTTATTAATGTTGATAGTTCAAAAACGGAAGTAACACAATATACCTGAACCTGATCTGCTTCTAATTTTGGGACATGAGAAAAAAAAAAGATCGAGTCAAAAACTGGATCAAATAAAGTCAATGGTAATCTAGAAATTTATGTGGATATAATAAAATTCTAATTTCCTTTTTTGATAAGTTCGTCTCTTAGATGTTTGTATCTTCATGTTATTTATTCTGTGCCTCAATATATATTTAATCTGTTACTCTTCAGAATTTAAAAAAATCTGGCATTTGATAGGGATTTTGTTTATTAGCGATGGCCACCTCGAAGAAGATTGTATCCTAATGAATAGACGCACAGAAAGATATATGAAATTTAAGTACAATAAAAGGTTTGTAGGGAGAACCTTTGATACTTGGAAATTAGCGTTTTATCCCACATCTTCTATATCTACAAGGACAGTGGTCTAAAACTAGCCTTCAGGACAATATTACAACTGCTCCTTTTTTCTTTATATTGTTAAAAGAAGAAAATAATAACTTAAACTTTTGTAACCGTGCATAATAGGTCCTCGCACTAAAATTCAGAATTGCATTTAGTGGCATAAAATACTGCAAGAACGACAACCCATTTACATCTTTCACATACAGGCACAATTTAGCATACCGGAGCAAAATAAATCTCTTTCACGTCTTGTACAGTGTTCTTCTGTATTTTTTAAAAGCAATATGAAGCCAGATGAAGCCAGGTATGTGTGAATTAATGAAATCAGGTATCATGTACATATAATTAATAACCACCACAATTTTTTTGTAAACACCAATTAAACCATTTCTCCCATTCAGGACAACATGGACGGTGAACAAAAGTGCCTTTATTTAACATGCACTTTTTATAATGTTTCTCCGCTTTTATTCTGAATCTTATTAAATATTTCTATAAACTTAACTTATAGCACATTAATTATTTATAGTTGGCTTGACCTAACACCGGAGAAATTCACATTCGTTTGATCTTACTAAACAAAAATTGAAATATATTTTAATTCATGTAGGTCACATTTTCAGAAGTCAATTCTTGTCAAAAACCTGTTTTGTGATAGGGGCTCTAGAACTGCACTTCACGCTCTATTCCAAATATATGAGGTTTTCTCGTTCGAGATCTAGAAACGATCTTTGTATCATATATATGTATATATTATCATTATTATTATGACCAAAGAAACATTTACCCACTCAAAACCTCTGTTTCCAAAAAACCGTGACCACCATTTGTATACGTTTGATAACAATCTCACATATAAACTCTGGTATATTGAAAATTAGCCCTTTTTGCCTGATTTTATGACTGTCTTGTTTTTGAAGTCACTATAGCTAATAGTTTTCGGACAAAGGAATCTCACAATAGAGTTATGCTGCTGTTACATCGGTTAAAACATTCCTTTAACTTAATGGAATCCGCTTACACCTCGATGGAAGATTATATCATCAGGTTTATTGAATTCCACCGTCACACTTTCAATCTTTAGCTGTTTAAAAGATACTAAATGGTTTTTCTTATGGAAATCATCATGTAGTTATAAAAATTTTGAAATGATCACTAACTAATACTTTATTGAATTTTGAATCAAATGTGTTGCGTTTATAAAGACGATTTTGTCGTAATGGGTTAAAAAAAAATTTAAAAAAAAAAAGAAAGGAAAGAAAAGCTCGAGTGTTTGTCACGTGTTCAAAAGCTGTTAAAAGTTAGGATCTTTTCATTATTGACAACCAAATCGACCTTTATCCCCGCTTTCTTTGATATTCTTATGACTTTCACGAGTGAGAAGTTATTTCTGTTTCTTCACTTTCGAATTCGTTAACCAATAAATATATGTGTGTTCGAAATAAACTTCTCGGTATAATTTAATCGCGTATATGTCAATTTTTGTTGCAAGTAAAAATTCAGAACAGCATCAAGTTGTCACTTTTCTGAATACAAATTACACAGGGTCACTATAATATATAGCTCCAAACAGCCAAATGACCAAAGGTCGAACTGTTATTCATCTAATAATATAATTCAATTAGTTTGGAGGCTAACCTGAAGCGTTTTAACCCATAAATCAATATCAACAAATGTATAGGTAGATATAAGTGATGGAATTTATATGCAAATAACTACAATTACCTTAATTTTAAAAGCATCGGCGTGTCCGGATTCAGCGTTTATGAATTTATGAATCAGATGAAGTGAAGGTGAGGATAGTCTTGAATGAAATATCAAGGCTCTTTAGATAGATATGACGTCACAAGCGCGTCGGAAATCCTGAGCATGAACGAAATGCCAGACATACCTGGTTAGATACATACAGGTGGATTAAATGAGAAATTCGGATAGAAGTTCAAACTGTAAAGATCGTGTGACAATCAGATTGGTCGTTAATCGCTATTGGTTATCTTTAGATAGGGGGCTTCAAGGAAAAAACGAGCATCAATCAATACTCGAAATTAAAACACTGGAGCGCCGGGGGGATTGGGGTCCTTTGTTTATGAGAGGGTCTTTATCATGAAAGTTACTGCGCAGAATGACCCACAGGAAGCTGCGAATGCGCATATCTGATGAAGTTGTCTTTTGCGTTGCGTCCTGCTGCTCTTAGTATCAAAAGTTCACAGCGGCTCTCCACTGATGCTCGACTCTAGCTATGTAAATAAAACACACAGCAATGACACGACTTTCTGATTACATATAGATATAGTATGTCAATCACACTGTCGAACGAGATCAAAACTATATATAGAACTTGGATGACTTTTAACAGTAAAGGTAGTGAAATATCTCCAACCAAAACAGAGCCAAACTTCAATCTAACTGCACCAAAAAGATTAAAGGATATAATACTGATAATCGGGTAAGTGCTATTGGCCCCCCGTGAGAGTCCCGTTCTATCGAGGAACACCTGCCCACAGGTACTCGATCCTGGAGTCATAAATTATGTAGATACCCCAGAAAAATAAACATCAGATGGACAGGTCTTCCCTCCGACTCGCAACAAAATGCAACCCTTACGGCTTTATCCTCTTCCTCGCGATCTGTGTGTTATTTTTGATGGGAGGAAGACAGAAGGACTTCCGGTTTCCCCGAATGCCAGGGATAGGATCTTTTAATTGTCTTTTTATTTTCAAACAGACCCCTCCCCCAAAGGCGATTTGTTTACTAGTACCATTTCTGCAGATTTCTGTACAATAAAATGTTAAAATCCTTCAATTCTGTATTTATTGCTTGATATAACGTAAAAAAAACAAATCTATAAATGGTAAAAGCCATGGGCAGATGGCACGTGTAAAACCTAATGTATAAAAATCTTATTTTTTGTGAAACTGAGAATTTATTTACTTTATTTGTTGCCTGCGGAGGACTGCAAATAAAGTCCTGTATTCGGCTCTTTGAATCGTTCAGCAGTGAGGGATCTTTTTTTCTTGTCAGCAACCACTGCCGCACGCTTTATCCAGGCAGTCTCAGCCGAAGGACCGGTCTCTACGTCCTGCGATATAGATATCAACTACTTTTTCGTGACCATGGAGCCAACGCTCTAACCATTGCGCAACGGGACGCGGACGATGATTTAATATTTATTGAAAAGTTTTTAGTATTGAAAAGTATGAAATATGAAATTCAAGACTTTTCTGCAAAAATTATTTCTATGGTAAAAAAGCGGATTTCTTGGAGTTTGAATTCAAACACGAGAAAAAAACGTATCACTACAGCACACAACTCATAATTTAAGTGACATCTAAATCAGATTTGTGGAATGACCCATGCATAACTGGAATTTCTTAGAAAGGTATAGATGTGTTAAATTTTCAAGGTATACCGGGTTCTTGTTCCATGTTTTTGTTCACCAAAAATGTTACGTATATATAATTTACGCATACTTTGAAAATATAATTTTTAAAATGATGGAGCGAAGGCCCATTCATACAGAAAATTTGTTTTTCAGAACATGCATGTTCCTTCAAAAGACGTGTACAAATTATTTCAATGTTTGTGAGATTGATGCAATTTATTTTTTTTTGGGGGGGGGGGGTAAAAAGAGTACATTGATGTTTTAACTTTAAGTAAAATGTCAAAGTAAATTTTGATATACATCTTATAGAGATTTCATTATTTTCATTTCTTTATTTGCCGATCTCTTGACCTTTTTTATTGCTTATTTCTCCATCTTCTTCATTTCCAAGGTAAGTTTGCATTTCGAAAATTTGACTTCGAATGCAGTGAGTGTCTCCGACGGATGCTGCTGACGTTTTTGTTAGCCGGGCTTATTGCTCACAGAAAGATTGACAGTTATTGTCCTTTTCTTTTCTTTTTTTTTTTTTTTTTTGAAAGTGTTGAATTTATATTTCAAAATTAAGAAGAAAAATATCCCTGTAAGCAATATAATTTGTTTTGAG